AAAGTATGGCCAATTCAAAATCAGATCAGGTGTCTCAGGAGTTTCCACAGCTTCTCTAAGCCCATTTTCCAGTGTTTTACCACTCAAGGTAAAAATTATTTTCTTAATATCAGATCAGAATATTCCTTGTTCTAATTTGTGCCTCTTGCTTCTAAGCTGTACCTATATCACTGGCAAAGACACAGAACAGTCCTTGTGCCAGCACTGACCCCAGAGGGACACCAGTAGTGACCAGGCACCAGCTGTGCTCGGCCTTGCTGATGACAGCTCTTTGAGCTTGGCAGGGCAGCCAATTTTCCACCCACATTGTGCAATAAAGTACAGATCAGCTGAAAGGCATCTGGAGAGAGCTGGGGTGGATACAAGAGTTCAGGAAGTGAAGAGCAGGGTAGGAAACAGCTGAAACGTTACACTTTGCTTGTCTTAGATACCAAAATTGTTTTTCAGAGGCATCTCTGGCTCCTTAGTTTGCAGACTAATGGAATCCTGCAAGTTTGGAGATTGCAAAGGAAACAAAACAGTAATTAGGGTTTAGAGCTGGATTTTCAAGCAGAGCAGAGTGGCAGTTGGGGAAGTTCCTTTTTGCACCCCTGTCACTTTGAAGTTGCCACTCTTGCTCAGAATCCCCCTGCCACTGCATCTAGTACAACCTGCTGAGGAAGCCATTGACCCTAACGGGAGTTGGACAAGAAAAGAGGCATCTTAGCAACACAACAGGAAAACCCAGTTTTCAAACTTCACATTGTACAGTCAAAATCACTACAGGTTCCTAGACAGAAACAGTTTCCTATTTTTATGTCTTGCCCCTTGGCCTGCTAAAGCAATGTCATACGCAGTCCCAAATTCCAAAGCAATGGTAGATGCAAGCTGGTGGGAGGTGGCCTTTCTGCAGAACGCACATACTGTGAAACACCAGCTTCTCAGGAATGTTTTGCTCCTCACCAGTGCTCTGACAGTCTCACTTTCAAACGAATCAGTTTACTGAGCCTATATGTACTTTTAGAAAAGGATTATAAGGTGATGAATTAGGCATCATCTTGTATGCATTCCTTTTCCTCTCTCAAACTGAGGAAAGTACTCTCTGAGGGAAGAATATAATCAAAGCCAGCTGCTAATTACTTTCCTGACACCAGGGGAGAGGAATGTTGGCATCAGAAAAATCTGGAAAATTTTCATGATTAATATTTGATAAATCTGTAATTGGATCGTTTGATTTTGCAGTCTCTTTTGAATAGAGGTAGTAACTTTGTTGAAATTAATGTTTATGAATTCAGGCCATAAATTTCAGGGGATGATAATTCATTGATTGATTTAAATATCTCGAAGTGCTAACCCTGGAGTGAAGATAAATTAGGATTGCCTAAGGACAAGTTAATATAGACTAAATGTAATCTAGAGTGCACTCCTATTAGAGGAAAATAAATTACATTCTGTAAGGAGTTAAAGTTGCATTTCTCTAGTCTTTTTTTTTTTTTTTCCCTGAAGTTCAGAGATTCAACATGAATACTTAATTTGGAAGCAAAGGAGAAGTAGGTATACTAACATGGAATTAATAAAGTGGTTAAGAGCAACAGGCAATAGCGAGCAAATGGTCTCATTAAAAAATATCTGAAACTGAAAATGCTAACGCTATAAATATCTATTATATTTTATTGTCTAGAATTGAATATAGAAATTCTCTTGCACCTAATAAATCAGTCATTCTATTAAATTCAGTTGGAACACTAATTTTGTTCATTATTGCTATGAACAAAACTGAATGATTTCATGTTCTGATTTTTAGCTATTGCATTATGAATTTAAACCTTTAGAAATAGCTTAGAATTGGCTAGTAACACAGCAGCAAAGCGAGAAAATTGTCCAGAAATTTTCCAGACTGAACTGCAAGCCACATTCACATTCACTGAGGAATGTGATCAACCAATCTATAATTTTGAAGGTATGAGATTGAAGTTGCCTTTCTCACCAGCATCACTGCTCTAAACGGACAGCAACAAAATAGCAAGAAATAATATGTATCCTAATGCTAATATTTGATTATGATGCATGCATGTTTCCCGGCTACTGCAGAAGGAAACATCAATACAGCTCTTTATATTGGCTTTAAAGATTTAGTTAGGGGCACCTATGCTGTGGCATTTTTAATTTAGTGTTTAGACAGTTGTGTTAGTATGCACAGCACTTTTCACATACACAAGTAGGGAAGTTTTCGCCTTAAAGGCCTCATAATCTAAATTAAATCACAGTATTGGGGGGGAAAAAAAAGGCAGAAAAATCCACCTGAAAAGAAAATACAGTCTTTAGCCACCTGCAAAGATTTCTCCTTTCCTCTTTTCATTCCTGTCAAGTAGATTGGTATTGAAAACCAGCTGAATGATAGAGTAGATTTACCTAGAAGAGTGAACACAAGACCATGAGGTTGTTCAGTACAGTACATGTGAAAAGATAGTTCAGAATCAGGACAAAGCTCTCAGAATTAGAAATTTGATAAGTCTTTGTAGAAAAAAGTGGAATGATGTAGCACATGAGAAGTCATGGCACATAGAGGGTGACATGAGAAGGTGCAGTGTTTGAATGGGATGTTGAAAAGGCAAATACGAAGATGAAAAGGGAATGAACTAAGACAATCCTTATTAGAAATACGAATGAGGACAGAGAGGACAAATGTGTCCTATTTCAGATGACAAACTTTCAAAAGGATGAATATCTGAACAGAGATTATGAAACTGTGAAGATATGAAAGATTTTGACAACATTGAAGGAAAAGCAGTAGAATTCTTTGAATGTGCACAGGGATAGGGCATTGGAATCTATTCTGCTTGAGCCTGACTGACACAGTATATATTCTCTCTTATTTTCTCTCTCTCTCTAAATATATACGGATATATGAGATATATATATTCTGAAGATAGGAGACCAGTAGAATATATATAGTCAACAGTAATCATAAGCTATCACTGTAGCTCCCCTTTCTCTTGGGGAAAAAAGGATGTGCCCACAAACACAGCTCAGACTGTGAGTACCAGGGGTTAAAACCATCACTCCGTCTCTCTGCCATTGGCACTGCTGAGCAACTCCTCCCACAGCAGGGCTTCCAGCAGACCCGCAGTGCAAAGCTGCTCAGTCAAAACACAGGGACAAATGTGTTCAACATGCACATGTGTAATGGCATTAGTCACTTCTGCAGTTAATTAATTTTACTTATCAGCAAGTAAGTAAATTAACAAAACTTTAAAAATGCAACCCATGGAACTAACTCAGCACAAATCTAACTGCGAATGGAAAAGCTGATTTTAAAATTTGACTTTCCAAGCCAAGCTCATTCCAGGCAGCAAGGAGCTGAATCAGAAAGGAAAGGTAGATTAAAAGGAAAGAAAAGCAAGCCCATGGTCTGCTAAAGAAGGGTCTTGTTCCACTCTAAGACCGTTATTTGGAGAAATTACACACTGCACTTTGAGGACCAGTAATTTCCATTAGCAGAAACAGCATTTTATGCTCTTAGCGAGTTTCAAGGACCGCTCCGCATCCAGGGGCCTTATAGGTTTCTGAAAATCTCTTCCTTTATTCTCTTTTACAACAATGCTTATTTTTACTCACTTTTGTCCTTCATTCTATTTCTGAATCCTAGAAATACCCTAAGTTGAGGATTCTTGTTTATGCACACGCATATGTATAGGTACGTGCACCCAAACACCTATTTCATGTAAAGTTACTGACATCTGGTGCTTCTTAGGAGTACTGCATTACCGAGTAATAAATGCCGATAACTGTATGCTAATGCAGTTATCTACAATAAATGTATGTTAACGGCAATCCCCAAATCCCAAGCAACTCCAACAACAAACTTTGCAATTTATGGAAAGGAGTAACATTAGCTCAGACTAGAAAATAAACTGTGACTGAAACATGAGTATCCTTTAAATATAACAGAGATTGGGTTGGAGGAATTTGTTATTTCTATCTAGGAAAAATAAACCAAAACAAAACAAGCAAACAGAAATGTATCTTACAAAGGAAAGTCTCCTTACCTGGAGCACGGATATCTAGGTGTGTGGAGTTGCCATCTGAGACAAGAGGCCTCACCACCAACACACCTGAGCTGTGAAAAAAGGGAATTTCAGAAAAACAGGCCAGAAAAACCAGGCTCTCACAGTAGCACATAAAACTACTTATATTAATTAACTCAAACTAGCTAAGAGTGAAGCACAGAAAACTCACGTACAACTGAAACAGCTTTTATTAGATGGCTACCATTAGAGCAACAATTAACATGCTGACTTAGAATATAGTTTTGACTTAAAATTCAAGTTTATTTTGAAGAGCACAAACTAGGCAACGTAGCAACATAGGCAATCTCTAATGTAGAGATTAGATATTTTTAAAAATAATAAACAAACCCAGCTGTTTGGGGGCATACGAGATCTTCAAGGGAGAGAGCAGCCGCCCTCTTTCACTGCTAACACAGAGGGACGTACCCTAGCTCAGTTACACAAACACTGCCAGGCTACTGCTATCGAATTACTTTAACAAACACAGAAATGACCACGCATCTACACCTGCCTCAACGTCCGCTCCGCCCAAACGCCCCCGCCGCCGCCGCCAACGGTTTTAACGGTCTCCGCCCCGCTCCCCTCCACGGCCCGACCTCCGCTTGCAGCCCCGAGCAATCGATGACCGTTTTCTCGTCCGCGGATTTGCCACCCCCTGCTGCCCCGCCCCGCTAATCGATGTGTCAGTGCGTCGTCTGCTGAGGCCTGGCGGCGGGAGGAACGCCCCGCCCGCCGGCTGCGGGGCGGGACGGCGCCATTTTGTAGGAAGCGAGGGCACAGGTAAGGGCTGCGCTGGGGAGGGTCTGTCCCGGGGGAAGCGGCTGCCCGGCCCCTTCCCGCCCCCCGCCGCCTCCTCTCCCCCTTCCGCCCGGTTTGCAAGGCGGGCGGCGCTGAGGGGAGGGCGGCGGTGCCTCAGCGCTGCGCTCGCTTCTCTTCCCTTGCAGGGGCAGCCGGGCGCCCAAGCGAGAGGGGAGCGCGCCGCCTGCCATGGCCACCGTGAGTAACGGCGGGGCGGCGGCTGCGGAGCCGCGCCCGCGGCGAGGGGAGCGGCGCCCATCGCTTCCCCCACCCGGGATCCGCTCGTGGGGCCGCGAGCGCCTCGTAAAAGGCTCAAGTTGGGCCCAAAACACTCTTAGCGACACGGAGCCCCCGGGAGGGGCTCGCCTTCCTTCTCACATTTAAACCCCAAAGGCAAATTCAGTGGGTACGATAAAGGTAACCTATGCATGAGTTAAAGGGGCCCCTTTTTTTAATATCATCGCTTAAAACGAAACGTCAAAGTCTACCATGTTGTAATCGACCTGGAGTGATTCAGACTGAAGAGTAAAACCTGCTTTATTGGTTTAGTTTGGCTGCATAGACATGGATAATCTGTTGCGTTCAGTGGCGTTTTCTCTTGTCTTAATGTGTAAATGCTCACACATCTGCAAATATTTATCAACATGAGCATGGTCACAATCTGTAGTTAAGTTTTGACATTTGCATGGGAAGCATCCCCATGTATAGAAAGTCATTTTTAATTCCTCTTTTTATTATATGTTGTGTCTAACTCTATTTATATCACATAATTTACATCAATTTATAAAGATTTAATAGCTTTTCACTTTTAAAATGTAGACTAAAGCATTATTTAAGTGTATGATAAGTTGTTTTTGTTTATTGTGTGCAATTGTATCATGGGAGTGGCCAATCTATTTCTGAAATAGGAAAAAAAATAGACTTTTAGCTTCATTTTAGCTTCACCATGTCAAGTGTGTTTAAAAAAAAAAGTAATAATTATCACTGTATAAAGGGTCACTGTTGGACTTCAAAGTTAATTCTGGTGCTCAGAACCTACTAGCCCTTTGGAGCACTGTTGTTGTTTGTGTGCTCCAGAAGATGTTGTTGCATCATCTTCTATTTACTGAGTGGCTGAATCAGCTCTTGCAAGAAGGATTCTTAGCAGTTGGAAGCTCTGTTGACAGCACAGTTCTGTGGTGTGAAGCAGGTTTTCTGGGGTATTTCAAGACTAGGATTTATTAAGTTTCTGTGCTTTGCTGGCAGTTTGCCTATGGTACTAATTTGTTTGCAGCAATATTCATTTATAAATATGTAAATGTATCACATCTTCAAATGTAAATAATATGGCTTGTATTAACTTATTACGTTTTGCACATGGTAAATATTTATAGTATTTCAAGTGCAAAATAGAGCAACTGAAATTGTCATACTCACCTGTTCGGATGCGTATGTCCCGTCCATAGTTTGAACTGTTGGTATGTTTTCCTTGCTGGCAAAGAGGTACCTGTGGATACGTGTATGTTTGCTTCTAGCTGAGAGCTACAAGATCTCTGTGATGTTACTGGGGTTTTTGTTTGATTTTTTTTAGCTTGTGGTTGTAAGAATTGGGAGCATGAACTAAAATTTGTGCTAGTCTTCAGGCCACTGATCTTGCCTATCAGGGGATACTAACCTAACATTATTTCTGAGTATTTCTTATAATCAGTCTCTGGGTTTATTAAATTACAGCAATCATAGAAATAATACTGGATGCATTATTTTTGCCAGTGCAAAATTTAGTTTAGGCTTTGGTGTTTCAATGATGCTATTTACACTTTCCTGCTTTCTTCCTCAAATGAGGAGCCTTTTGCTGAGAGTCTCTGAGGTTCTTCCTTAATTTAAAAAAAGTGTGTGTGTGTATACATGTATATATACATACGTATTTATGTATATATACACACATAAATATTTACATACACTCATTTTAAAATAGGTTTTAAAAACATAACTAATGATAAATTACAATTGTAATTATGGAGTGAGATTTGATCCTGTGTTCTGCAAAGCTGTACTTAAACTACTATTTTTGCTAGCATTGTGTAATACTTGGTTTTGTTTTGTTTTGTTTTCCTCCTCAGGTGCTCTGTAGTAGAGCAAGATTGGTCACCTACCTGCCAGGGTTCTATTCCTTAGTCAAAAGAGTTGTAAATCCCAAGGCTTTTTCTACAGCAGGTTCCTCAGGCTCAGATGAGTCTCATGTTGCTGCTACACCTCCCGATTTATGTAAGAAAAAGCAAATTAATTTGCTTAAGTTTTGATTGCTTTAATTACAGTCACTCAAAAGCAAATACCTGTATTTGGTATTTGAGTGGGGAGAGTCTGTCTGTTTTTCTGAATAATGTTAAGTCCTTTGCTTTTACAGGTCCAAGAACTGTGTGGCCGGATGAAGTAATGGGTCCATTTGGCCCTCAGGACCAGAGATTCCAGTTGCCTGGTAATATTGGTTTTGACTGTCACCTAAATGGTACAGCTTCTCAGAAGAAAATCCAGACTCATAAAAATCTGCCTGACGTATTAGCAGAACCTTCACAAAATGAAAGGCATGAGTTTGTAATGGCACAATACCTCAATGAATTTCAGGTAAGAACAAGCATTTTCTATATAACGTTGATATGTGTTGTATGGAGTAAACATAATCTCACTTCCTTCTGAAAAGAGGTATTGATATTCTTGATTTTGAAAGATGAGGGATTTTTTATCCGTTTCATTGGTGGGAAAAATGTTTCAGTCTTTTTGTGTGAACATCTAACCATAGCAAAATAACATTTTAATACTTGTTTATATGGATATGTCAAAAAAAATGTTTTGACACTTACTATTTACCAACTCTTTCTTACCAGAGTTAGTAAGAGTACTAGTAGTTCCTTACCTAGGTATTTCATTTAATGGATCTGTTCCTAAGTGGACTGGAAAATGAGTGCTCAATCTGACTGCTTATTTCCAACAACCGTTGAATTGATATGTGCAAAACAGACCCGTGTCACTCAAGTGCAGTGTTTGAACTGTATTTTGAGAATGACAAAATCTGCAGTGTGTAATGTTCCTTATTAGCAGTAGTTAGCTTGGCAATTGCTAGTTCAGTTTGCAGAATCACAATGTTTCAAGAGGCATTTATTGCCATTAGCTGCTAACCCAACTTTCCAGCCGATCTGATTTTGTGACACACTCAGACTTTGGAAATAATTAATAAATCTGCATTGTAAATTTGCCATGTTGCATTTTTCTTGGAAAATGCAGCGTCTGTATTCTAGAGTGTTCGGAGCATGTAATCTTATGGTGAATTTCCTAAAAACTTCTGCAAGCCTTACCTTCCATTAAAAGCCCAACAGACTCTTCTGGTCTGTTTACTTAATGTAAACCAGATGTGCTTAATGTATGTCTCTGGTACAAAATGTATCACTTGTAATTATGTTGACTATTTTTTTAGAAATTTCTGCATGAAGGATATGGGATAAGAGTTGCAATGCAATATGAGAAAGTTGGGAATATGGGAAGTTTTACGTTTCTAGGTTTAATTAATAGTAGTTTATACCTGTGCCTGTTGTGCTTATAGTATTTTAGAAACGAACGTTAAATCTTACTGCAAGTCATCTTTTGTGAAATGAATCTGTGAACACTTAGTCAAAGAGATTTGGTGTACAAAGTTACTCTTGTTACGCGTTAATAAATGTGAAATTCTACTTTTTTTCAGGATACTGATGTTCCACATAAACAACAAATAAATAATATTGAAACTTACTTTGAAAATGCAAAGGTGGAATGTGCAGTACAAGCTTGTCCTGAACTGTTGCGAAAAGGTACGTTTTTCAGTATTTTGACAGTTTAAAAAAATAAGCACTTAATAAGTAAGAGCGTGCAAATAAAGGCTCTGATAGAACTGATGTCACAGAATAGGTACGAGAAAAGAGTTAGCATGTATTATAACATGAAAATCATTTTTATTATAAATAGTGTATTGCCTACAGTGAAATATATGAAAATTTAACATCAACTTTTCTGTAGAGATTGGAAGAAAGTAAATTCTGGATCCTTCTTTACTGTCAAATAGATTCTGGGATTTGCTCTCCGAACTCCTCTGTGGGTGAAAGATCCAGCCTTTTGCCCTGCTGCTTAGGAAAATAGCAGATAGGAAGTACAAAACCATTGATTGATTTGATATTGTATCTTTCTTTGATTTGTGCCAGAAGGATGTACATCAAGTTTAATTGGGATAAAAACTTCTGACTTTAATAAAATCTTTTCTTACTGTTAATTAACAGAAGAGACTGAAATGTGACCGAAATCTTAATCTAGGAGCTGAAGAGACTGTTCAAAGTGCAAGAATGAACAAACCCTTGGACTTTCAGTTCTGGAAAGTGTGTCTTCCAAACTGAAGACAAGAGTCCTTATGCTAATAAAGCCTAACTGCAATTTTGATGCTTTTGTTTTTAGCGTAAGAGTCAATAGGAAGATGATATTTGTGGTTTTGGTCCTCCTCTGCCCTAGGGGACACACTGTCCCAAATGGTGTCTGCAGTACAGTACCAGCATTCTGAATCTGCTATCACATCCTAGGAATGTTCTCTTTGAAGAAGATCTGAGAAACTTCTACGAAAAAGCTTAATGTAGAATAAGTGTGCATAAATAATATAGTGCAATCAGGAAGCATGTGTGTCTGCACGTTTTTTTCATTTTGAAATACTAAATTATTATTGTACTTAATATGTCCTTGCAAAGCAAGACATTTGTTCGTGAACTCCAAAATGTGCAGAGTGGAGGGGCTTTTATCATCTTTCCAGTCCATAAGTGACTTCTCAAAGGACCTGAGCAAGGTGCATTATTTTTTTTACAAAAGCAGAATCAGTGTTTCAAGCCAGTCTTCTATATGCCAGACTTCCCTAACATGCACACAAACATTTAAATGAAATTGAAGGCCCAGAAGCAGGATGAATAATTTGTCTAAAGCAGAATTTTGAGTGAAATGTAAAATGATAAACCCATTAAAATGTTGGTTTCACTTTCTTTAGACTTTGAGTCGATGTTTCCAGAAGTGACTGCTAATCGTTTAACAGTACTGACTGTTACTCAGAAAACTAAAAATGATATGACTGTCTGGAGTCAAGAAGTGGAGGATGAGAGAGAAATGCTGTTAGAAAATGTAAGTAGCTGTCAATAACATCAATATACTTTATTTGCAGGTGAAACTTATATGTATTTTTTATATCTTTGATCCGTTTTTAAGTGATAGCAGTTTACTGTGTTCTTTCTAAGAGCATTTCTGAGTTAATCCACATGTGTGTTCTCTTGCTGGTAAAATGAAGATATTTTTCCCCATTTTTTTTAACTATTATTATTATTATACTTGAAATGTTTCACACATCCATTAAGTTCCTTAGATTAGAGAGAGTCAGGAGTATGTCAAAAAGATTTTTAAATGGTGTAGTAAACTTTTTCAAAGATGCTTAATTATTGCACTATTGCCATTCCTAAGAAACAGCAACTGTTTTCTCTTATTTCAGCAGTAGTATAATTAATTTTGTAAGCTTTTACTGCGCCCTGTTTTTCAAGTAATTGAGATTTTTCTTCAATGTCTGTCAGTGTGTGCCTTCTTACTGGTTAGAAGGGGTTGCTCTGTTTTTCTTCAGTCTGCAAATTAATGTGGTTAATGGTTTTAGTCTGCATAACAGTGATACTTAGTACATGTTAAAACTTCTTCCAGACCTGCAGGAAGTTCTGTTGCTGACTAGAGGTCTTTCTGAAAATAGCTAAATTTTGCGTTTTTCAGAAATTGTAGTGAATGCTCCAGCAGGTGTCGCTGTGTACCATGGCTGGCAGGTTTTTCTTAGCATCTGAAAATATTTTTTTAAAAAAGCCCAATTTTAATACCATTTTTCTACAACTAGTAAAAATCACCATGTGGAAATTTAACTTGTTTGGTCAAATTTATGGTTGAAAAAAGGCTGCTTTTCAATTCTGTGAATTGTAAATGAGGGCAATGTAAGTAAAGGCAACCACAGAAAAAGCAGCAGTCAGAAGGATCAACATAAAGATTACCCACAAATTAAAATTCCCTTCATTTTAGTGGGTTCTTCTGTTTGAATTATTTATGGTCTGTTGATCTTTGGCATTGTAATCTGGTCTAATTATATGTTAGTTGGCATCTTTCTTCCTTGTACACCTTCCTGTCAAGTCTAATAGAGTCACTGTAGGGGTTATAGCATGTTAGATGTAACCTCCTGGCCTGAAGGTTACTAACAGCAAATTTGCAATAAAATGGACTGTTTGTCTACTCCTTAGATGATAGGAAGTAATCTTATACCCTCCCCTCTCCCCCCAAAAAAAAAAAAATTAATTTGAGAGGCTTGTGCTCAAGTAAGAAGAATAATTTACAGCTGAGCCTAAATGTTTACAGCAGTTCTCAAGTGTTTATTAGCATCACTGTAAGGGCTTGCTGCAGGATTGTTACAGCTCCAGATCAAAAGATCAAAAAGGAAGTCAAAAAGATCAAAAGATAGGAAAGTGTGTACCTTGTAAGCTGTCTTCAGATGGCTTGCTTACATTTGTGACTTAAGGTTGAGACATCGTTAATCTTCAGATCAATTGCACATCAAAATAGAGCACTGAACCATTTACTGTTCAGGTTAAATTTTTTAGTTTGGGCCATGAAGGAACTGAGGTTGAATAACTCATCTTTCTATAACATCAAAACCCTGGCCAATGACATGACCAATAACTTCAGTCCTTTAATGGATGAGGCTGAAACCATCATCTATCCTGGCCATCAGTTAAACCGACAGAATGAAAATTGATGTAGATCACTGAAGTGAAATGCTTATGGAACTGTTTGATATCATGATGTTAAGCTAAAATGTTCTCTAAATCATTTGCAGATTGATACTTGTAATATAAAAGGAACTAATATAAGAGGGAACTACTTACTGTGCTGTCAACCATGATAGGATCCTATGACAAAATAGTATTTTTGGTTTCTGATATATTTAGTGCCACATTTAGTGTCAAATTTGTTGAATTTAGATCTGTAAACTTGTAGAGAAATACCCTGAAGTAATGATTGACCTACTAACAGGTAGCAGGGCTGCAGTCTGCTTGAATGATCAAAGCAATTGCATCATTCCTTGTGCATGCAATTAATGCATTACTGACTAGCACAAGGAACACTACTAAATCTCGTTGAGTAGCCTAATGTATGTCATTGATTTTAGTTCTTGTTATTTAAAGGATGTTGAATTTCCCCTTTTTTGGTGGAGGCTAAAAACTGTGCTAGTTCATTTTCAGATTGTTTCATATGTTTTCTGATGTGTGCATACTTAAATTCATTTAACTTTTTCCCTTTTTCTATCTTGTTTTTCTTTTTTTTTTTTTTAAAGTTCATTAATGGTGCCAAGGAAATTTGTTATGCAATTTGTTCTGAAGGGTACTGGGCTGACTTCATCGATCCATCCTCAGGACTGGCAGTAAGTTACGATGCTGCAGGGACTATGCAGTGGGCACTGCTATGTACTAACCCACAATTGTATCTCTCTTTTCTGTGGATTAAATCCAACTTTTTCATATTGACCAAAAGCTGTTACCACAGCATAATTCCCCTCAAAAGCTAAGGAGAGAGATGCCGTTCAAATTTCCATACTGTCATCTGTCTCAGCAGTTGGCACTTTGAAGACGGTGTTCAGCAATAAATTTCCGTTAATTAGGAGTAGTATACAAAAAACTTTTGTTCAGTGCACCAGTACGACCTCCAAAGAGAACTTGGTTTTCCTGACACCTATTTATCGAGGGAGAAGTTCTTAAGATCTCTTTGCGCTAGGCAGATCTGTTACGTGGAAGTAGTGAACATATTGTTCCTATTAAACAAGGCTGGTTCTCATTGTCAGGTTAAACCAGTTCTCTGCAGGAACTGAAAGCCTCTGTGCCACCCCCTTCACCCCCAAAGACATCTGTGAAACGCAACATAGTCTTAAAACTCAAAGGTATCTATAAGAGAATTGACATAATTTCTATCAAGACACACATGACTGTGCATTTTTTGTATGAGAACTAATTTTTAAAACACTTTCACTGATTAATATAATTATGGTAGAGTTCAACTTAAAATTACTGTGAAAGGCAATTATTTATTGTGGCATTAAAGACAGATAGGTTTAACAGGTATTGTTTAGTCTGAACACAGTTGAAGGTGTGTGTGGCACTTAAAACCTTCCCAGAAAATTCACAGAATCATCGAATGATTAAGGTTGGAAGGGACCCTTGGAGATGATCCACCCCCCCCTGCACAAGCATATTCCATTCCATGCATATGCATTCCCCCGTTAATGCAGTTCCATGCATAAAAAGAATAGCTGCAGATGGATAAAAGCAGGCTTCTGTCTAGAGGTTTCTATCCAGTAATAACATCCCTACCCGTAAGCTATTCATCAGAAACAAACTTTTGTGTCAATATTAAGCTTCCTCTTGTTTTGAGGTGAAGCAACTGATAGAACTAACTCCAATTTATGTATGCTCCGCTCTTGTAAACATCTTTCTTTATGGGGTGGGCTCACTGAAAACAAGTTTTTGTTTTCCTACTTAAGATCTGTTCTATCCTTAACTTAATTTTTAAAAAAATTTTTTTTCATACGTAACTGTTATTCAAACACTATGTCCTCAACTATCTGTCAGCAGTAAAGGGGATTATTTATATATGAGTCTTCATTATAAGTATACTGGAGGTCCTTTGCTTAAATATTCCTGCATAGTTTTTCTGAACAAAACTATACCTATTTCAAAAAAAAGGAACTGGTGCTTCAGGGCTTTTTTTTAAAAAAGAGATAGTTCTGACCCTAGAAACATAAATACTTAGTTTAAAATTGTTCAATTGTCTAAAATATGTATTGTTTCAAATACATATATTGTTTTAAATATAAATATATCCTAGAGTGCTTTGTTACTGAGCTGTTAGCCCTTGCAGTCTAGAATCTTCTTGGAAATGTGAAAACTTCTCTTCTTTTCCACCTAGTTTTTTGGACCATATACAAACAACACCCTGTTTGAAACAGATGAGCGTTACCGGCACCTGGGATTCCGTGTTGATGATCTTGGCTGCTGCAAAGTTATTCGTCATAACATCTGGGGTACTCATGTGGTTGTGGGAAGTATTTTTACTAATGCTGAACCTGACAGCCCGATCATGAGAAAGCTGAGTGGAAACTAGCACTGTCAGTTTTACAAGTTCATGTATGACCTCTGCTTTCTTGTTTCTCTGTAAGCCCTGTCAGGAAACGCCACACTTGGTAGTATCTTAAGTGGATAATAAAGTGTCTGTTATTTATTTTAGTCTTTGTGAAATAAGTATTCACCACCTGTGACTTAGAATATTGACAGTGTTTTAACATCTGCACATGAATTTTAAGCTGTGAGTTTCCTTCATCTTGAATGAGTTTGAAAACGTGTACATATTTAGCTTTTTTCTCTTAAAAAATATTTTGCAAACCATCCTAATTGACTGTTTTATCTTTCAGTGTCTCTGACAAATTTGTATGTTGTGCATTAAAAATTATGAGAATAAGGTCAATATTTCAAATGCTATCCCAAAATATACAACTTGGAGCAGGGAGTGTTGGGCTAATTATTCTTTCACTATTCTGAGAAGAGAATGAGAGAAGCTCTCAGCAATCTGTATCTATGAGTAATGCTTAAGTAAGGAAATGTTCCCTTGATTACTACATCCAGAGACTCTTGATTAAAACATCTTAAATTATGTTAGAATTAGTCATCTCAATTTTTTTTGGTCTTCAGGGTGCCTGGGATTTTATTTTATCAGTGTTAGAGCTAAATATATTTAATTAGCTTATACATTCAAATGCAATATAAAGATACTTTTGTAACTTTCTTAGGTCATTAAATACATTGCTTTCAAAAGAGATAATTGTAATGGCAATAGCTAGATACAAGTACAGGAAAAACATGGGTGATAATCGTGATTTGTCTCTGTAATTTTGAAATGCCTGAGCAAATGGCAATTATGATCAATTATAAAAGTATTTCAATAGGAAAGTTCAGTAAACAGCATCAGGCCAATTCAAGTTACAGGAGAAAGAACCAGGGGAAAATTCAAGATGTCTGAGATTACAAAACTCTGTGTCAGCTGCCTCTACAGAAGATAAGCAACAAACTAGATTTCAATCTGTCGGTCAATTATCAGGGTCGTTTGTTGATAACTCGGCTGCTGTAACTGTGCCAGCGTGTGCAACAATGGGGATCCTTTAGTATTGATTCCGTCAGAATGTAATGGTGCTCTTGTCTGGATAATGGCTGCATACGATGATGCTTGGAGAGGTTTAGCTTCCTTTCAAGAAGCTAGTGGTTTTTTTAATCATGTCTTTTTCCTGTACTGACAGTTCTATATTTAAACTTTTCTTCCCTGTGTTTGTATACATTTTTTTATTCCCTACTTGAGTTCTAGCTCTGTTATCTAGCTCTGTTATCTAGCTCTCTATCTTTTCATTGGTTTTAATGGGTTTAGAGCCAAATCCTTCACACTAAGTGCCTGTTACATCCCTGTTAGTGATTGCAACAGTCCCACACCTTTCCTGTTGTGGAGATGGCAGCAATGAAGACTCTCCCTGGGAGAACTGAGCACTATCTACATTGAATTCAGTGTCACAAAGCCTCCAGCTGAGTTTACCCTCCAGTTCAGGGTCTATCTTGCTTGCCCACCGCCTGTCATCGCTGTTGGTTCAGCCTGTGCACGCTCCAAGGTTGAGGTATATGGGTGCTGAGGCAGGATCTGTTTATCTCTTTCATGGACGGGTGAAATGCTCTACCTCTGGCATGGACAGGTGCCAGAGCCTCAGCTCTTGACATTCTCTCCTGTCCTAGAAGTTTGGTGGGATTTAGTCTTTTGGGATTCATCCTCAGAGAAGGGTCTGAGGATACTCGAGCAGGTTTTCATGAGGATGAGGTCCAAAAAGAAATCCCCAAATAATCTCGAATCTGCAAAATGTCAGTTTGCAAAATCAACTGAAACAATGATTTTTGCAGAATGCAGATTACGTCATATGACAAAAGAGGGTTTGTCTCTGCATAATAGAAATAATGTAGATGTAGAAAACTTCATTGGATAGATACTAAAAAGACTATGAAATAATGTCTTAAATGTATTTTAACTGCCTTGGAGACTGTTAATACTATTTTTAGTGACATTGCTGTGCTTGCTTTTATGTGTTTTACAATGCAGAAAAAAAGTTGTCAGGCAGCTATCCAACTTAAATTGTGGACATTAGGTTTTGAATTCATATCCCTCAAAGTTTCATGCTGGAAAGATGCACAGTGGCCTTTAAAACAGCTTCAACCAGAGGCAGAATCTTGTCCTGACTGCAGATAGTTTTGTCTTGATGTCACTAATATTTCATGACAGAATTGGAGGGGAGGTAAGATTTCCTGATATTTTTCTAAATGATAACGTTTTCTGATACTTGCATAGTAAAATGCTTTGAAGAGGCTAGTACTGTTCCAATTCTACTTTCCTCTATCAAAAGAATTATTGTATATTAACGTTCTACTGTGAAATAAAAGTTCTTGAATACAGTGTAATTAACTTCTGATAATAAAAGCCAAGACTTTTTTTTTACTGTTACAAAGTGATTTTTCTTTCTGTGGTAAAGAAAAATAAACACATGAAAAGTGCTATTACATATGAAGTCACATCTCTTGTAGGATTACAGTTTTATGGGAAATACTATTTCTGATAGTCTGGAGACACTGATAACTTAAAAGAGTTGTTCATTCATTACTACATATGACAGAACTGGTTTTTTTGCAATAAAGTCCATAAAAGTTATTTAAAGTGTTGATGCTGACTACAATTGTGACGTAGTTGCACTTTTAAACACATTGATGTACATAGTAAATATGCTTTAAAAAATGATGCTGGTCTATAAATTACTTAATGAGGAAGCTAAATAATTTGCATAGATATTTGTAGCTTAGGTGCTTTAGAGTAATGAAGAAATAGCTAAGCATAAGTTTCACAGTTTCTATTAAAGGCAAGAAAAATAACTGGAAACAGCTTAGCTACTGATTTGACATCAGTTGCTGTTTCTCGCTTTGTTTTTTGCTTACTGTTTCTTGCTGCTGCAGTTACAAAGCTTGTGCTCTGGGCAAGTATATGCTTGATTGGACTCTGCTAGAGCTGTTCCTGATTTTATGGTTTTTGGTGTTAGGTTACTTTAGGGAGAAAAGTCTGATGTGAGCCATTGACTTGATAAAACTCTTCAACAGCATGGTCCGGAAGAGTTGGTGCTGTTATTGCCAATGGACAATTGCTTGGACAGAGTCTTCATTTAAATTACGGAAATAAATGCGTAACTTAGCTTGGAAGTTAAATGGTGATCAAATACCTAGAACAAGACATTGAGAGAAATGGTCAGCTCATAGCAGGAAAGAGGTGTGTGTTTCTCCCATAGGAGAAAAGAGCCATAACTACCTCTTTGAGCTGAGACCGAAACAGGAGGATGTTGTTTGCTTGGTTGAATCAGTAGAGGGAGATCCTTATCTTGAGGTGTCCCACACTTTGGGATTCTCAAAGAGGCCCTGGTCCCATCCTATTCCTACAGAGGGGAGGATCTTTCCCTCTGAAGACTCAGATCCTAAAGTCTAGATGTGGTGATAGTTGATATATTCATGGTGCATCTTCAGGTAACAGTGCAAATTTTGGTACTTGGCTTCATATTAAACAATACTGAACTTGCAGGAGAACAAATACATTTTAAAATAGCCATTCTCCAAATGTTAAAAGTGTTTTATATAGAGTATATTATTTGGAAGGAATGAGTAAAAATACTACTAGCAGTGATGTAGAAGTAGCAAAATAATTGTCACCTGCTCCCACGTGCCCTGTGCTTTCAAGGACCCTCTTCATTAGGGTTCACTTTCACAGCTTCACTTTTTGTGCTGGATCCTCAAAACAGGCCACCACACTGATGTTTTCTGTGCGTACCCTTGCAGAGAATAGGAAAAATAAGCAAATAATCAGACAGTGCTCTCTTATAACAGCCTAAATGGTAAAGAATCATATTCTTTTTCCACTGACAGCCACCTGGATGAGGAAAAGCTATTGAAATAATCTACAAGGTCAAAGATGCCTCTTCGGGAAGAAGACCCCTTTTCTTCACTGTCATCTTGACTGCAGGCCTACTGCCCTTTCCGTTAATTGAGGTGTCATTCAACAAGGGCTATTCTGGTTAATAAACCTTCAAGAAAGGAACGTTGTAACTTTAGACAGCTCCAAGTACTGCATCCAGAAAGGTAAGGCCTCCGAATGCGACTGCTTTGTGGAGGTAACGCAGAGAGTTTGGGCTGTGAGCTTGTCTTAACGCTCAAAGCTTCTGTGTGGACAGGCTAAGTTAGCTTAGAAGTTAAACAGTGAGTAAATACCCAGAACATTGAGAGATATGGTCAGCTCATGTTCATTCATGGCTGAATTTTGGTGCACTGAGGAACTAGTGTGAGTTTGAAGAGCTCTGAATATAGCGGCTGTGTGCCTTGGTGCTACTCAAGCTATCTGACTTAAGTATGGAGTGGCAATACCATTTTATTCACTTGGTGATAAGTTTAATTCAAGACTGGGGCACCCTTCCTAAGCTCTAGTTTTCGTCATCTCTTCTTTAGCAACAGAGCAGTTCTCTGAGCAGTTTGTCTGCTGGACTGAAAAAAATCCTGATGGTTAAAAATATATGTAGGGAATTGCCTTTTAATATTATTTTTGCATCTGTAACGTCACATTCTAAGTGTTTATAAAGGCATTATTGGATGCATGGCCTATTGAAGTTTCTGAAATGCCTGATGAATTGAAGTAAGGAGGTCCCATTATCATGACACAATTACATTACATTACATTACAAGATACTCAGCACGTGTGCCTCTGAAATCAGCAGTCGGGTAACTTCTTTTTAACCACCACGTTAGCACTTCATAAAACTGCTAAAGTTATTGTGTGCATCAAGTGAAGTCCCTCTCTTGCTGTCAGGCACGTTCTTATTAGGTACTGCTGATCACTGCGTGTGATACCAAATGAATGAGCTAGCAAAAACTGACTACGTGGAAGTCCTGGTGAGCGGAGAATAGAGGGTTGAAACCTTTCCTTTGGTTCAAAATAAAACATCTCATATATAGATTTTTTAGATATTCATTTACTAGAAAAGTAGGACATTTTCATGGGAAAAAGAAAATATATTAGAATAAAATATACTTTTTGGCTTACATGAAGTCCATAGCTTGTATATCCATGGCTCCTGATGATGTCTTACTGAGTAGATTAAGACCTCAGACAGTATCAGCTTTCTTTTTAACTCATGTCAAAAACAAGGTATAGTCCAGTTAACACAGAGCTCCAATTGGTTGTTAACTCAGGCCAACACTAAGACTTTAATTCAAGTTAATGTACCTGAATTATTTTGTAATGAAGACAAGGCAGAATGCATTAAAGCTTCCATTCCAGCGTCCCTCCAGGGGGAAAAAAGATATGCTCAAATGTACTTAGGTATTAGTAGGGCCAAGTTCACATAGCTGACTGTTTCCTGCACAAATTACTGTGTGCATTTTGCCAAGTTTTCATATAAGTCTTTTGAGGAGAGGTATCACTGATGCAGCAAGATTTGCAGTCCCTCAGCCTTCTGAATAAATGTTTTCAGGACGTGATGGGAATAGAGTAAAACCAGTATATTCATTTGCAGCACTAACAACTCTTTGTAATCTTTGATAGCTCCACTGAATAGCCCATTCTTTATCATCTCATTTAATCCGAAAGGGGTAAAATACTTAGCTTAAGATCAAAAAGAAACTAATCTGTAGTTCAGTTGGAATTCAGCCTTCTGTTGCCTTATGATACGTTTTCAGGGGAAATAGCTGGAATGAAATGTAGAAAGTAGGATGAGAAATGAAAGAACCAGCTCTGTAGACAACAGCAGAGATCAAATAGTGCTACGGTCGTACAGTGGAAGATGAAAGCACTTGAAAACAGCCTTAAACTCGATGCTCGCATAAATATAATTGCACTTGGGACTTTACAGAATCCTGAAACGTCAGCACTGGTGGCTATGTTGTTTTGCCTTTTAATGTAAATATTTCATCTTATTTCATTTTGTGTCATTTTGTGTTTTAGGAGGCTATGTTTTATTTCCTGCTTTTAGCTTGAAAGAGCATCAGATGGTGGATGCTGTTTGTAGACAAGTGTGATGGAAAAACAAAGATGGGAGCTCCAAAAAAATGTACCCTCCATTCAGTTGATGTATTGGGAATGAGCAAAACGGTTGTTTTCCAGCAGAGGAACATAATTATGGAAAAAATATGAATATATAGTAACATTCCTGCGTTTTATTTTAAGTATTAACCTTTCCTTAGCTTTTGAAGCATAACTTTTAAGTGGGTTTAACTGTCTAATGCCGATAGCAATGCTGAAATAGTGAAGCCAGCAGAATTGTTTCAGTGCCCTCCAAATACATCTACCCCACACCTAAGGAAGGTGAAGCCTTTCCATGCACACGTGCTTCCTGCTTGCCTTCCAAGCCAGGCACTTGAAGCCTGTTGTGCTCCGAAGGTTTCGTGCAGGCTGACACTTGCATAGGGGAAATTTTCCATAAACTTGGAGGTTGTCCAGGAGCTCCATGCACACACACGCACACACGCGCTCCAAGCTTGGGGCAGCTGCTTGGTGGCAACAATGACGTCCTGTGTCGGCTGCAGGGTAAGTCATGGGCTGGCTTTGTCACAGCATCTTTGTTTGTCACAGTTCTCTTTGTTGCAGGAGGATAATGACAGTTGGCAGAAGCAAATCCTCGCGTGGGCCGCATGCAGCACCCACCATGCAGAGCACATGGGGCTCTTTCAGAGGTGCAGAGCTGTGTGTGAGGGTTTGCTGTGTCCTGCTAATGCACAAGGTTTAACCTCAGTATGTGAGTGCTAATGTGGGCCTTGCTCGTTAAGCAACCCCCCTTCCTGGTGCTGCTCGTTGCCACAGGGGCCCAGCACGTTTCAGGTGTGCAGTGGGGTCCAACATGGCCCTGCAGCGCCTTCCTCCAAGCTGCTCCTGCTGAGGTCCTGCTCCGCTTGCATTCCTGGAGCGTGGATCTGCTGCAGGATCCAGGGAATTCATCCTCTCTGTGGGATTATGTGATTGATGGGATGGGCTTGCTTCGATCTAGGTAGGTTTTCTTCGCTTCTGGGTCCTGTGAAGCCTGAAGGGTGCCTGAAAGTGCTGTCTGAGGCATCGATTCCCAAGGAAGGGCCCTGGGGCTGAGCCCATCCCTGCTTGTCCCTGCATGTGGCTGGGGAGGATGGGACTCGGAAGAGGGGCAATCCAGGCTTTTAGCAGGAATTGCTGCTTGGTCTGAGAGCCTTATCTCTCTCTGGGCAGTAGTTTGAGGAAAGAGACTCGAGTATGAAAGGTGACACTGAGTGCTGAGCAGCCCGTGCGGCGAGAGGAGAAAAAGCCTGGGGACATTCGGGGAGGTTTCGCGTTGCTGGAGAGCTTGGGTGGTTTGGAACCGGCTGGAATTTCCTCCGGGCTGGTTTTGCTGCACAAACCATGTGGCTGCTGATCAGCCAGGTACCATGTGGCTTCAGCTATAATGTTGTCCTCACTGCGGACAGCCTGAAATTGGAAAAATCTTAGGGCACATTCCTTACCAATTTGAATAGAGCGTCAAACTCAGAGTGGAGCTAACAAGCTCAAATACACATAGTTAAAAATTTTCAGGACTGCTTTGTCTGCTTCCAGGAGTTGCAGAGGTCTGTGGGGTTTTTTTATTTGCTTTTCTTTTTCCTTTTTATTTTGTCCAGTGATCTTTGCTCCCTGTAACTAAGCAGGACTATTTGTACAACTAATGTGCATTAGAGCCAGAAGTGTGAAGATTCAGGAATGCCATAAAACAGAGCAAAGATGGTGATGAGCAGTAAAATGTGAAGAGCTGGAGGTGCAGGAGAGTTACCTGTGAGAAGTAGTTACCTGTGTGAAAGGGGAGGTTGGGTGTTGGGGTATGGGCAGAGCGGTGCCCGTTGCCACCTCGATGCCCTGTGATCTTGGTTGGACTAAAGAGTGAGGAGCTGGGAGAGGGGAAAGAAAGAACATCTGGAAAGTCCAGGATTTTGAGACATGGAAACATGGATAATGAGACATGGAGACATGGGTATGTTATTATACCCCCTGGAGTAAGAATCAAGGCAATCCCAATTACTTAACTCCATCCTGTTATTTATGAAAGTTTTGGAGCAAGAAACATGGCAATGGGATTCCTAAAATAGCTTGGTGAAGAAAGGCTCTGGTTGTGCAGACTAGATAATTATCCATCGCAGACTGAGAGCTGCCTTTGGGGGAGCATCCCAGAGGGCGACCCACGTCCTCCAGGGAAACCTAAAACCTCCGGGTCAGCCGGTGTCGGTGGGAGCCCCACGAGGCCACTAATGGTGCTGAAGAATGTGCGATGCTTGTGGCAGGATGAGATTAGCAATCCAAAAATATTTGTGTTCCCCAGCCCAGCCACGGAGCTCGGCTTGCCTTTGCCAATGGTGATTTTTTTTTTTTCCTCTTTTTAACAAAACCACGATTATCGTGGGCTGATTCTGACAGAAATTTGATACCCCTGAGGGGAAAAAGTAGGGCGGGGATGGAGTGGAAAGCTCATGTAGTCTGTGTGCCAGGAACAGCAGGGAAGAGAACAGCGCCGGCTGCGCTGCACAGATACCGTCACTTTGAGATCGGGCTGCTTTTTGTTGATCTAATCAAATTTTTATGTCTCTCTTTTTAATGATTCATCCAATTAAGTTCATTTGTTCAGTCTATTGTTTAATGGTAAATAACATTTAAAAAAAATCACCACCTATGAGGTTGTTGTACTTGCTGTTAGTTCTAGTGTAGTTATTCTGTTTATTTGATCTTAAATGTGGATTCCCTCCTCTTTGAGGGCAGCAGCAGTCTGTGGTCACCCTGTTTTTCTTCTCAGGGATGTCCTGTCCCGTGTTTTGTTTTCTGAAGCAATAGATAGGCAGCATGTGGCACACATAGTGAGTATAAATGTGCATGCTATTTAGATGTGCTCATGTGCCTGTCTGGTTCATATACAACTTTATGTGCATATATGTCAAAGCCTAAAAAAAATCTGCTTTTTGAAACCAGAAATGTTTTCTCCTTTATAAAGGTAGTTTCTCTAGGGCACCTTTCACTTCGTAATGCGAGTTGCTTTCCTGGCCGCTTCTCGTGTGGGTGACATTGTACATAACATTATCTCATTTAGGAGAACTGGCATCCTATGGAGAGTGAACCTGAAAGTCAAAACACCGGGATTTTTGTGAAGGAAAATAACGGACCAGGCTGCTGTGGTTCCTGCTGCTGGACGGTCGCTGGGGCTGCACGGGCTCTGCAGGACCTGGTTGCACCCGCTACCATCACAGGGTCCCCCAGCGGCGCCAGTTCCTGAACCGTCGGTACGCAAAATGCCAGCAATAAAACCCAGCCCTCCCCGCCGTCCTGCTGCCTCCCGTCGGGATGAGCATTTCTGCAGCCCTGCCCTACAGCAGGAGAACAGATCCAGCTGGTGACCAGCTCCATTACGGCAGGGTCCCGGTGTCACAAATGAGGCCTTCAGCCACTGCGAGGCTGGGGAGATCTCAGTGTGGGGCTTTGGGACAACCTGCCACGTCTGGAGGGGTCCCCAGGGTGACACAAGACCCTGCAGCCCCAGGAGACCCAGGTAGTGGCTGCAGAATGACCAGGCCTCGTAGCTTCCATGAAATGCTTTCAAGTAACCATGTTTCACCTTGGCAATGGTAAGCCTTTTTTTAAATAAGGCTTAGACTACTATTTCATGAATTGCACAAATACAAAGGTTGAATCAGTGTGGATTCTTGCACGGGAAAGCCAGCGGGATTAGGAGACTGAAATTTCATGCAGCTGGATGTTACGCTTGGCTGAGAGAGCAGTCGCTGCCCCGAAACTGCCGAGGCAGGGAAGGCTTTAAGGAAAGGAAATGCGTTCTTAGGCCTGAGCTTCGGGCGGGTCTGGTCCTCTACATAATGCTGTAGAGCTGCAGAAAGGTTATCCATGCTGTAACTAATGCCACGCTGTTTTAAAACAAGGATCTCTCTATCAGGCTTCAAAGAGAGGTGGGGAGTTGTTTGCTTGTTGAGCAGAAGCAACCAGACCTCCCAGGAACAGGCCCATGGAAAGCTGCACGGCTGCAGCAGCTCCCACCACATGAGGTAAGTATGTCCTTGGCTTTAAACACGTGCATCGGGATTAACCCGCTGCCCCAGACTAGGAGGTATGAAAATGCCTTGAAAATATCTGCACTTTATTGGCATTTTGACTGAAAACCTGCCTGCATTGTATTAAAGGGGAAAATCTCCTGAGTCTGAGATCGGCCTTTACGAGAAGTTGAGAACGTAACACTGCTGGTTGGGGTGTTCAGCTTGTCATGATGCTGTTTTGTCAGAAAACTAACTAGTGGAGGTGGCCCTTGGTCCCTGTGGGGCGACTCTTGACTGCTGTTGTGTTATTTAATCTTGTTGTTAGAGTCACCTTGGCGGTGAGGACAGTGACATGTGGCTCAGGGGGTTGGCTGAGCACCAGGTCTTTTAGATCCCCCACGTTACTGTCTCGCCCCAGCAGCCTGTTCAGCTCAGGAAAAACTGAAATGAACCTTCATGGCTCTCCAGGAGTGCAAACACTGTGGTCCTGAAATCACCTCCCAGTCCCAGGCAGCGTCTACAGCAGCGCAAGGCGGGATCACTAGTCGTGAGCTTGTTTCCCTTGTACAAAGTGTTTGGTTTAGGTTTATTTCTGGGTTATTTTACTAGAGGTGAGGGCTAGATACAACTGTGACTCATTGCCCATTAAAATCAAGGAAAGCCCATGTCCTAACACAGTCCTTTGGGTGAGGAGTTGAAGGAGAAGTCGTGATGGCCCATGGAGCCCATGGGGCGATGTGCAGGGACACATGGTGTTGGGAGCCATGAGCTCAAGGTCTGCCCTGGTGTAAAGGCGAGAGGAAAGAGCCACCATCAGTGTTGCCTTGGAAAGGCCTAGAGGAGGGGCTTAGAAAAGCCTGACATTCCTAGACTCTGCTGCAGGCATCCCCTGATCCATGCTTGTCCTGTTGGTAGCCCTTTTGGAGGGAGCTTTGCCCCTCATCAGCCTGCCCTGTCCTGTAAACACCCGTCACCTGCTCGGATGGTGGCGTTTGGCTGAGGAGACCTATTCCTGTCCCCACCTTTGTGGGTCTCCATGGGACACTCCAGCTCTTAGCAGTGCTGGACCTGGGATGCAAAAGGTCCAGGATTTTGTATTGCTTCTGATGGAAGAAAAAAAATGCTCTCATAGTGTTTTAAGATCTTAAATATTATCCAGTCACTACTGACTGATTTCTACCTGTCTCAAAAATCGGTTGATAAACCTTGTGCCTCAGGTTCCCAAGGACACTGCTCTATTTTAGGAATTGAAAAACTTGGCATTTCACTTCTATAGACAGCGAGTGTGAGAAAAGAGCAGAGGATTTTCCACCATTACCTCATACTACAGGTATTTTCTTTTATGCCTTTAATTTATGTATCTTTTTAGAACTTTAATGTCTGTTTCTAACCTTAAGCTAGATCCTCTTTGCCTTATGCTTGACAGCTTTGTCAGAATCCTTACATTACTTAAAGTTGCTTATATCCCAGAAAATCTTGATCTCAGGAGTGTGAATGTGAAATAACTGCAAGGAGAGCAAAGGCTGATCTGTGGCTCATGGCAAAGAAAACAGCACCAAGCTTCCCGCTGCTGCCCTGCGCCTTGTATTGCACAAAACTGCTTTCTGTAGCACCAAATGCAAAGGCTGGGAAGACTGGCCTGCTGAAAGGCTGTGGTTTTGGTTTTCAGCTGCTTTCCCAAAATGCAGGGTGAGACGGAAGGGGCCGAGGGGAAGGAGTCGCTGGTTCCCGAGCCAGGACGGCAGCGCCTGGGAGGGCAGCTCTGCTGGAGGCAGCTGCAGCCCTGCCGCATTACCCGGCGTGTCACACATCTGAGTACTGAAAACGTTTATTTATACAAACATACAGAATTTACAACAGTGTTAAAAATTAGCCATTTGAGAGAAACGTAACGTTATAGAAAGCCTACAAATAAATAGGGGGCAGCTCGGCCTTTTGTGCTTCGAGCGGAGCGGCAGCGCGGGGGCCGCTCCCAGCACTGGCTCCTGGGGACAGGGAGCCCTTTCGGCAGCCCCATCCGCGTGGCTGCCCCTCCCGAGCTCACCGGTACAGCTGAGAGTTGGTGAGTTATGTTAGAGCCTAAATAGCCCTCTGGCAGCTCCTGCTGGTACGCGGGGAGGCGGAGGGAGAGGTGGGAACGAACAGGGACACACAAACCTGGCGGAGAGGTAATTCCAGGAGGGAATTCCTGCCGCTCGTGTGCTAATTTACTGGCCTTAAGTGCACACAGTAGAGCCCCGAATCTAAACTGTAAATCCCTAAAATCCCACTCGGCTGCAGGGACCAGCCGCAGCGGTCAGGAACGCGGGCAGCTCTGCTGCTCAGTGCCACGTGTGACACGGGCCAGGCCTCGAGCAGGGAGGGCGCAGGCACAGGGATTTACAAAGCGTTGAGATTCCAGCATTTTCTTCCCTTTTCCCCCGTATTTCAGTGTATTGGAACCCTTGCCTTGCAGAGCATAAGCACAGTGTAACTCGATAAAGTGCAAGTTACCTTGGGAAACCACTACTGAAGCCTAGCTCATAAAAGCTCATAAAAGCAATTTACAACAACTGTATTTAAAAAAAATCCCTAACGAAAGAGTTTGGCATAAAACCAGTCCATAGACACCCTAGTTTTATTACTGACTTTACAAAACAAAGCTGATGCTTTTTAAATATTAAAATATTATATATATGTGATAATTTATATATTACAGGCTTATGCACTTGCAAAGTAACCGCTTTGTTTGGCAATATCAAATTAAGAATTTTCTTAAAAAAACACTTTGGATCCTACTCAAGATACAAAAATAAATATTGTAGAAACTACTTCCAAGCAAAATAAGAAATATCAGCTATCAAACTGCATAGATAAGAAGAGCCCCTACTGCGTAACAGGAGCTTGTTCAAGAAGGGAACAGAGGCTGCTCAGTAGCCGCCGCAGCCCCATCCGGGCAGTCACCGCCCTTCATATATTTTAATTTAATCCTTTTCAGTTTAAAATCCTTAATAAATACCCTCACTTTTCCTGCATGCAGGATATCTACTGAAGTCAATGGGAATATGGAATAGATGAACTCAGTGTTAGTTGTTGTTTCCTAGCGTGGAAACAAATCTGCCTTATATTAATCCATTGTAAAAGTCCTGTTGTAGGGACAGCTGAGCTGGGCTAGTCCCTCTCCATCCATTAATTCCCTGGGAAGAGCACGTACAGACCCAGGGCACTGCGCGTGGTTCCATAATTGAAGACATTGGCAGGATTATTCATGCTTAGAATTAAACTTGAAATTTAAATGCTTTGCTAGACAGGGGCCAAAGTGACACCCTGCATGATGGGTGCTACAATGGGGACACCCAAAACTCTGCGACGCCGAGAGCGGAGCCGCTTGAGCTTGTGCTGCTCTTGCAAACATTTTTTTTTTCTCCATTTTTTTTCTTTTTTCTAGAGGGTACAAGGGGAGATTTGGGTGCACATGAAGGTGCAATGTCTATATTATTTACTGCGTGCTCTCAAATCACGTTAAGAACAGAGTTACTGTAACAAATTATTGCAACAAGAAACTGTCACGTGAACAGATGACAATGGTAGTGACAGGGTTAAACTACTTTTAAACAAAACATATTTCATGGAGAAAAGACAGACGTTAAGAAAAGCCTATGCGTTGGTGTAAGCCACAGATTGTGAGAAAATTTTGCATGAGTTGCTATAAAAACAATAAAGAAACTCAGGTTTTATCCCTTCAGCTGCAGCTACATACCAGAGTCGCTAGGTCCTCATTGACAAAAATACAGGAAAATCAGTTTTTTGAAGAGATTTCCAAAATATCAGTCCTGAGAACGTACAAAAAGGTTGGATGTTCATGCAAACATTTTCCTCTAGCCCTGGACTCTGCACACGCGGCAGCGGCGGCCAGTGCTACGACATCAAGGCCAACAAGAGACAGGCTGTGGTCAGCACGGCAGGGCGCGCGAGTCTCCGGGTCTGGTTGATGGGGGACAGCGTGGCGAATACTGCATTTGTTGTGTTTCTTGGCAGGGGCAAATTGCAGATGCTTCCTTCGCAGCAGGAAGTGCAGATCTGAAAGAGAGGAGGTGTCAACCAACCAGGTATTATCTGCGCAAACAGCAATGCTGTTAAATAGAGCTTTGGTGGAGCCGGTGCCATACTACACATCAGCAGTGCCTTTTATTTGTTTTAATCAATTGAGCCAACTGTTTACCAAGAGCATCCGCCTGTAGAGGAGCTGACCTGCGGTGCCCCACACTTTCCTGAAGGGATCTAAGGGATCTATTCCCAATATCCCAGCAGAGCCCACTCAGAGCAACGAGGCTGCTAATGCCCCTAAGCCTAAGATGCCCTAACGTTACTTGGGTGCTTTTGTTTTTGCAGGGCCTTGGTTTGCCTCACAGTTTCATTTCTCACACATGTGGGGGGAACCGCAGCCCCCGCGGCGCCGGTGCACACGGCTCCTGCGCACGAGGAACAGGAAGGACAATTCCAACAACCGCAGTGGCTCCTTGTCAAGTCTGCTGGGCCTTCTACCAAAAACCCAGGTAATTTCTCCTCTAACCTTGTATCCCTCGTGTTTTACGTATGTGCATCCAGGAGACAGACAGTCCTCCAGGGGCACGCAGCGCTTGGTGACGGAAACGCTTTCTCCCGTTATTTTCATGATGTGTTGGCTAAAGCAGTACCTTGTACCTGGGAAGAGGAAAAGACAGCTATTGTTCCCAGCAAGTTCAAAGCTGGTGATATTCTACAAAGAGGAAAGACATTTTTGGCTTTTGAAATGTTAGGGTTTCACGGGACACAAGAATTGTGTGTGTTTGTTACAGCAAATGGGTGTAACCAAACACAGAGCCCTTCGTGGAGCCAGGAAGAGGTTTGGCTTCAAAGCTGATGCAGGTTTGGATGACACTGGTAAATGAACCACGTGCACACGTGTGTACAGTCAAATTATGGAGCAGGGTGCACAGAGCCCTCCCAAACCTTGCAGGCCACTAGTTTTATAGGGATTACCTGCCAAAATGAGAGCTTGCAGCATCCAGTCACACCTGAAGTGTTGGTGCTTCTCACATTTAGGAATTTTTTTTTCCTAGCTTCAAGTACAATCGCTTAGTCCTCAGAACTGCCTAACGTAAAGCAGAAATGCCCTTTCGCTTTATTTTAATGCACTTTGCAGATTACCCTCCCTGTTTGCTCTCTGGCTCTCCTTGAGCTGACCAGTCGGCCTCTCCATCCCTCTTATCAGTTCTGGAATAGCAGTAAAACGCTAGGAAACTGCTGGGACAGCGTGGGGAGGTTTGTGGCATCTTAGGCCCTACTTCCCCAGCTCCCCACTCGTTCAAAACAGTAACTCAGGCTCAGCAGTTGCTCCTTAATTACCACAGTGTAGCTCATTGGGACCAGCAAATTTCCATCCATTCAGAACCGTTTATAAGCAACCACATCATTTCCCTCTCTGTTGAGTAAAATCTTGTGGCACAGGTGCTCCGAATGCTTCCACAAGCTGCACCTTCCATCACAGCAGCTGCAAATCCTCTGATCTGGGCTAGCGGGAGCTGGATGGCGCTTGAGCTGGGTCCAGCCACGGGTAACGGGCCAGGCCTGGGCGCAAGCTCCCCTGCCGCCGGGCGCAGCGCGCAACGTGCAGCTCGTTACCTCGTGGGCAATAGACGTCCGGAGCCCAGCGGTTGCATTCGTAATTATTGGCTGCCCTTTCGCAGGTAAAGCACTTAAATCCACGCGGATAGGGGGTGGCTGGAAGCAAGAAACAGCAGTTGGTTAAAGGACGGCCTCAGTCAGCTTCGCTTCTCGCGGGTACGTGGCAGTATTTTTAGCCCGAACGCTTGGTGCAGACTCTGCTCGGGCTCCAGGGTGGGTCTGGCTGCTGGGGACCCTCCCTGGGGAAAATGGGACGGCCAGGTCAGGTGGAAGCAGCTCCATGGATCTCATGTGGCATCTGGACAGTGACCAAGTGGATTTTGCACGTGCTACAGAGAAGCTTTACCACTAGCATTGGAAACAGCCTGACAACGTGAGTAACATAAGCAGTTAAACTCGAGAAGAGGTCGTAGCATAAACCTGGCCTAGCTCTGGCTGTGCTAAGGGGAAAGACCAGGAAAAAAATGGAGATGAAAAAAATTCAGGCATTCCAGGTACAGACAGCAGAAAGCCAGATTAAAACAAAACATATTTTGTCTTATATATGCACATGTCATGTTACAAGATCAATAAAAACATCTTGGTATTTTATAGGAAGTGAACTAAGATAACTGGCTACTAACAGCACAAAATTTCGTGCTTTAAAGTAGTTTAGTAATCAACTTTGAAACAGCTGCTCAACTTAAGAAAGAAACTTTATACAAACTAACGGTGCAGCCACTCCATAGGGCTCTCTAAGCAAAACTTTGAACCTAGCCCTGTACTATTGTTCCTCTCCATTAACTACATAATCTTAAAGAAAGTGTACTGGGTTGAGCAGCAGATTTAAGATTTTCAGTGAGGCTCTCCCCAGATGGGCTACCCAGGACTAATACTGGGCTTAAACACTAATATCTAGGGAGCAGCTACAATCAGTAGACGAGATCTGATTTAGAAATAGCAAGTTCTGCACTTCCTTTCAATATATATATTTTTTTCCACAGCTCAGGGTTTTACTCATTCAATGCAGGTCTGCCTAACGCCACAGGACAGCGGACTTGACAACTCCATCGATTCAGCCCCCCAGATTACAGCAAGGAGCCGCAAACACTCCTTCTTCTCCCTGCATCAGAGCACGTGTGTATAAAATCATGTACTATGACATATAACACAAACGTTGGCCTCTTGCAGGGAATATCGACTTTGCACCAAACCATGAAGGGTCCCAAGGCCCCTGGGGAAGAGGTGGCGGGCACAGCTTGGCGGGGACTCTCCTCTAGGGCTGGTACCCGAAGCCACGGCCACGCTGGAGCCAACGCAGTGCCGCGGCGCGCGGGCCTTGGTGTCCGCTCCATAAGGGAGGCCGAGCGGCAGGAAGGCTCCAGGCCGCCCCCCAGGTCCCCGCAAGGGAGCGAGCGAGCGGATGAGCCTTACTCGAGGGATGCAGGTAGACAATATCCTGCACGGTGAAGTCTCGGGGCTGGGCGGCCTCCAGGCAGGCGGCGAGAAGCAGCAGGAGCAGCCAGGCCAGCGCGGGCTGGGGGGCCATGGCTGCGCCAGCCCCACGCTCATGCGGCTTCGCTGGGCTCCGCGGAGCTCCGGATCCGGCGGGAAGAGGCCCTGCAATGACACGCGCGGAGGGTGAGCGGAGCGGCACAGCCACGGCAAAGGAGCTTCCACAGCCCCGGGTGGAGGGTTGTCCCCAGCTCGCATGCAGCCTGGCAGCGCGATCCCATGGTTGGCTCTTATCTGAGGGCTGCCCTCTACTAAACACCTCGAAACCCTTAAGAGCGGCGGTACCGGTACCGGCAGCGCGGCCTGGGGCAGGGCCGGGCTGCACAGCTCCCACCACACACACAGGCAGGGGACAAGGCAGTCCCGCCTGGAAGCAGGAAGGAAGGAAAACAAGGAAATAAAACAAACCTCTGCCAGTGCCGTGGAGGGAAAAGGGACCCCTGTGCTTTTCACAAACACATAAAGAGCTGCAGTCTGTGCTCAGAATTTGCTGTGTTCAAAGCAAAGGCTTAAGATGGTCAGAGTTGTAACAGACAATTTGAAAACCGCAGCCTTTTGCCAGAAAAGCTGTCAGCGATGCACTCTCCTCTCCAGCACGGGGTTTTGCTAGAAAGGTGGCTTCCCTTCACAAGCCACATAAGCCCTGGAAGGCTTCCTTAGGGATCGGGAGGCTTTCCTTCCCAACGAGCCCGCCTCAGCGTGAGGTTTTTCAGCGCAAGCAGCCGAGCGTGGCGCAGAAGAGTCTCCCTGGGCGGATGTCGCTGGTGCCAGGGCCGCCGCGGCGCTGGACAGGAGCCGGCATCGCGGGCTGGGGCGAGGGGACGCAGCCACATGCGGGCAGACGGCACAGTCCATTCGGGAAAGGTCCTGGGTGCTCACACAAATCCCGGTTATCTCCGGCTCTCCGGCTCCTCGCGGGCGGAAAGGCCCCGGTGCTGCAGCGGGATTACTGGTGCCTGCCCTCTGCCCTGCCCCGGCGCGATGGAAATTAACCATTAGATTCACAATTGCTCCTTTGTCAGGTCTCATTAGGGCGGCCACATGTCCCCGCATTGTCACCTGCTCGGCAGACAAAGGCAGGTCAGGGTCCTCGGGAAGCGGGACGGAGCTTCTGGAGCCGGGGCGGGCGCGCGGGGCGACTCTCGCAGACAAAGCTCTTGGTGAGGACTGACGGGCTGCTGTGCGGCCCTCGCCCGCGCTCTGGAGGGGTCTCCGCCGCCCTCGGCAGCTTTCTCTTCCGAACCGAAGAGAACCCCCCAGCTGCAAACAGGCCCCGAAGGGATTCTTGGTTTGCGGACGTCTCTGTGGTTCCTCTTCCACATCCCAGTCCCGCCCAGGGCCCTCCCGCTCCATCCTGCGGGAGCCGAAACGTCCCTCTGCTTTTGGGCATGGAGGTGGCCCCTTTCCCATCACGTTCGCACTTCCCGGGACATTGTGTTGCTGCCTGCATCCCAGCTCCAGCGCCCTGCCAGGGCCGTCTCCAGGTGTCCCCGCTCGGGCGCCTCTGCCCTGCGCTTGGGAGACGCCTCACCCTGCAGCGCCCAGCGCCTCAGACACCGCTGCTCAACCACAAAACGGGGCCCGTTTGCACCTTTCTAAGCTCAAACACAGCCCCCCAAACCTGCAGCATGAGCCCGTCCCAGGGCACGCGGGAATCACGGTGAAGGGGTTCCCAGCCCCTGGGAGCCGGCCCGCTCCGTGCACTCCCACTGGGATGCCCTGAGCCGAGCGGCCGCCAGGCTCGAGCCCTCGGCGGTTCGAGCACGAGCAGCGACCCGTGCGAACAGGCTGCTCGCCTCAACGTGCACCACCTAATCTCCCTGCTGCTAGTCGCAAAGCCCCAAGTTCACTGAGCTAAAAGGCCAGGTCTGGGGGACGGGCAACACATCCCCTCTCACGCGGCCCCCCTGCGATACAATTCAATCCTTCACAAGATGCATTTTGAAGATAATTCTTATTATGAGTATTGCACCAAATACTGCTCATGTGCCTGTGCCAAGTATTGCTTCCATTTCCAGTTCGATTTTCCACAAAGTCTCGTGTTTTCCTTAGGACTTGTACAAACACCTGATATGGACCCAGTTGCTTTAGTGGGTTTTATCAAAATCTCCTGACATCACCTCCAGGTGAGAGCCCAGCTTCAGACAAGCTGCTCCATGCAAACCGAGGAGAAATTCCATTCTTTCCAAGTAAACATTTGGATTTACCAGGGCAACTGCAAGGGCTCTGGTTCCAGGAAAACGCAAGACAAGATCCTGAGCCCACGGGATGAACTCAGGTCTGGTAGGAATCCAAGTAACAACAGCAACTGAGGTCTCCTTCTGGGGCTACATTTGGTCAAGGGCTGCAGATGCCGGGGAGACAAGAGAAATCACGACGACGACAGAGCTTACTACACTAATGTCCACCAAGAAACGTGTGTCTACTGGGACATACGAGAGACAGTAAAGCTGCCAAGGCTCTCTCGGGTCTGCAAAACGCAGGTCATCCCGTTATAGAAGAGGAACAAGTGCAAGAGGCATGTGGGTCCGTTCGCAGGGCAGCCCCTCAACTTCACTACAGTCGTTGTATTAAGCCCAGGAAACGGAGTCCATCTAGAGACCAGGCAGATCATCAGCACAAACCCAGGGTTTTTAAAGGATCAGGCACCTGGCGACTCACCTCGAGGGCACTCCTGCAGAAACGCACGCAGTTACCACATCAGGAAAAAAGTCAAAGAAGAAAAATCCAAGAAAAAAGTGCAGTGAGGCACTTAGTAGAATTGTCTGGAAAACAGCAAAGGGGCCCTTTCCACAGGGCCAGGATCACGGCTGCGAGAGGAACAACCCAAAGCAGACGGCCCTGACCCCCGATTACCGACATGATTTCTCCCCAATTAACCAAGCCCGCTCGGGCTGAGCTTAGCGACATCTCAAAATCTGCTTGGCACAAAGGACAGCTGTAAATCCAAGACTATATTTTAAGCTCTTTTCTACTCTCATGCAAGGATTAGTTCAACATATATTTTTAATCAACACCCTAGACAACAAAAACCCTCTTTTGCTGGCAAAACGTGCAGAGACGGCAGGACTGAACAACGTCAGAGACGTTGCTGTTGTGGAGTGGGCTGAAACGCTTGTCCCTAATGTACCAAAATGTGCTTTAATGAAACCATACATCAATCTGCATCACTGTGTCTTCAATCCGCTCATGCCTTCGCCCTCGGAGCGGCAGGGCTGCCGTGACAGGCCGTGCTGGACATCACCCGGCACATTTGACATGCTGGATTAAACAGGAAACAGCCCCATGCCCAGGTCCGACCCAGAGGGAGGCTATGAAAGAGCAGTGCCAAAAACATGGTATGGTAAAAAATGAGATCTCATTGTATTAACTAATACCGAATTTGAGCCTTGCCCCGCAAGCGAGAGCTTTGTTGCTGAATTTAATGTAAACAGGATTAGGCCATGAATAGTCATGGTGGCGGGAGAGGTATTAATGAAGCCGCCGGCTTTGCCCGTCCATGCCGCACAGCCCTGTGCCTTTCCCAAACCACGCACCATCTTTCCACGGAGCTAATGACCGCCGGGAGGTGCGGGCCCGGCTCGGGAGCAGCCTATCCATTAACCTGTGGAGGGCTGTGCTGCTCGGCGGTTCGCGCGGGGTTCACGGCGTTGCTCCCTTCCCGCCGGCCGGTGCCCGTGGCGCGGGCGGCAGACGCGCGGCTCCCGCTGCGTGCGGCACCGCGCCGGCGGCACCGAGCCCGGCCCCGCTCACCAGGCCCGAACCCGCTGCCCATCGGGCTCGTCCACGTCCCGCCGACGAGCCCGAGGCGGCGGCAATCGGCCCCGTGCACGAAAATAAACGGGACCCTTCCCTTGCGCTGCTTCATTATTAGCACTTAGTCTGACTAAGGACTTTAAAACACCTCGTAGGGAGAGGAGGAGGAGATTTCCTCATAGGAAACCTCCCTTTGCAGCAATTCCCATAGTCAAATCTTATTTCATTAGTCTAAATAAAAGGGCAAAATCAGTTCATATTTTCTATCACGTGCTACGGAAATACAAATACTTTTCTCACAGAGCTTTGCACAGGGTTGTCCAAAGGCTGTCTCCCAGGTTTTAATGGGCATTTAGTTTGGTTTGAACTTCTGAAAAGCTCCACACTGTTGAGTGAAAGACACCCAAATTAGAACTGACCAAGTAGGGCACGGCCAGTTGCCCCATGCAGTAAACAAACTTGACTGTTCAGCATCACTAATTCACTTACATTTTCAATAGCTTTTCTGGAAAAACAAAACCCAACACAACCCAAAACAAACAACCCGCCCCTGCCTCTACAGAGCTGCCGGGGTTATTCGAACTCAATGACCGATTAATTATCTGGCACCCTCTCGGAAAAGCAATTTAATCCCTTCATTTTATTTAATTTGCTGCCGGAAAGGGGCAACTGAAAGAAAACGATCGTGTCTGGCGCGATGGGAAGCCCGAAAGGCCGTTGGCAGCTTAGCCCGCGCCCCAACACCGGGGTGTTTGAGGGGACGTCCCCAAGCCGAGAGCCCCGAGACCCCCCGGACACCCCCGGAGCCGGCGCAGGGGCCAAATCGCTCACCCGGAGCCCAAGGGCCTTGGTGGGAGCTGCTGCTCACGGGCAGCCCAGCAAGGCCGGGCCCGGCGCGCAGACGGCGGCGGATCAGCGCCCTTAGCAGAGTAATCGCCTATTTAACACGTTCTGCACAATCCGTTTAGCCTTGGTGGGCACCACTCGTAAAAGCAGCTGAAGAGTCAAATTAACCCTAGCTATAATTCACCTTCCTGAAGCTACACCGGTCTGAATCGCTTGGTTGTTTGGAGTTGGGTTTGGTGGCCAGAAAACTCCATTCTGCTTTGCACCACTTTCCTTCTACATTTGAGTCTGAATTTTTAAGACAACTTTCGTATCCTCGCTGTATTTCACTTATAGCTAATCGCTATCAATCATTATTTTACCGTGATGTACCAATTGTAGCAACCATAGAGGCATAACGTGATGTTTTCATCAGAAATATTTTGGTAGGGCAAAAACATTGCCACGCTAATTAATTAGCAGCAAACATGCCATAAATTTAATGCATGTATATTATCATTTGC